ACATTGCCGGACAGAGCTGTTTCTGCAGATGTGCGTTGCCAAATGGCTGTGGTTGTCAAAAATATGTTAACCCCAAAATGGCTTGCCCTGGTAAGTGGAAACATGGACCAAAACCTGCGGTCCCCTGGTGGGTTAATTTTGACCCATACCCAAATCTTTGGGGCCCGGTATCTGGATGCTGGGGTTCCTTCTTGTTTCCCTTACCAGCCCAGAAAGGTACCCAACGCATGGGTTTTGCCCGCAGCCTCGCCAATCGAAGGCGAGCGCATCGGTCGAGAAGTGGGCTACATGCTTTGCAGCTCATCCCGCCTTTGCCTTGCAATGGGTGTCTTTTTGGGAAACTTTGGTTTCCCTTTAAACCAAGCCCAAAACGGGTTCAAAGACCTGCAAGCATTCCAAATCAAATTCTGCACCACTTGTACTGAACAGGGCATCCAATCAAACACGCCCCAATTGACAATAGATAAACTAGCCCTGGCTATCGCCCTAGCAAGGAAAACCAGCCGGCAGAGTCCATGACATGCTGCGTGAGTCTCTTGTTTCAGCCTCCCATTCGGACTCACAGCAATGCCACTGACTCCGAGCACACAAACAACTTCCAACGCGCTTGCCCAGTTCTCAGGTGCTATGGAACACTGTTGCACATACAGCTCACCTCGATAGATTTCCTGCATGCGTGGTGCATTGACTTTGCTTCGGCCGCGCCCATCTCCCGCAATCGAAACTGACCAGCCTGTGTGCCTTCTTCTGCGAGGCGGCGCACCACCTGCACCCGAGGCTAATCAAGCTTCGACTGGGCACGGCTGCTTAAGCTCCCCTGAACCAACGCGAACTGAGTCACAATCAAAACCCGGTAGTATGAATGGTCGTAATCCCAGAACCACGTAAAGAATTAAGAAGGCGGCGGCTGCGACTATTTCTGGCTGGGACTGCCCCTTACTAACCTTCATCTACCCGGGTTTTGATTGTGGCTCAACTGGAGAGGATGATCCGAAGAATCCGAAGATCCTGCTTGTGTTTGAGCTCGCAAAGGGGAGGGGTGGGGTGGGCCACAACAAACGTCAATGAATGGAGTCTCCTGTCCAAGTGTACTCGACAAATTATCCGATGATTCAGAAACGGCGGAAGCAGCGACGGCCTGCTCAATCAAGCTGTGCTGGGTGGTTTTCCTGATGTGAGATTTAGCGAGCAGCAAAATTTAGTTGGCAGGCTAGAGGAGCCATCCTAGGAAACAACACGCTGAATCCGAAGATGGCTGATGAAAGCTTCTTGGTGATGCAAGCATGTTTGGCGCCGTCGTGAGGATGCTGATCGGTGATTCCCAAATCGCTCAGGTTTTAGCAGAGCCATCTACCAGAAATCTTGCACGAAAAGGTGCCGATAAAAGTGCGGTCAAGACGTCCGCGAGGTCTACAGGACAGTTGCGTGAAAAGGGATGTTGAAAGGCTGCGATAAGGGGGAGGAGCGTGCATGCGCAGCCCTTGCCCTGTCAGAGGTTTCTCTCTTGTCGCGCGCACGTTTTGCCTTTGTTCGTCTAGAATGCATGCGGGATCGGCAATATGTCGGCGCTGCGTATCATGGGATGCTGTCCTTGCTGAAAAGGTAGGTGTTATTTCTCTGTCTCTCTGTCTCTCTGTCTCTCCCCCCCCCTCTCTCTGTCGGCGGTGCATTCGCACGCTCCATGCTCGCGGCTCAGGGTTTCAAGATAGCCAGCTTCTGGGCCGCCAAACGCCACAAGCAGTTGCAATCAGACCTAGCAATTGACCGGCCTGCGGTGCAAGGCCGGTACCGCATGGCCACATAGGGCCAGCATCAAATGTTTATGGGTCAAGATTAAACCGCCAGGGGACCGCGGGGTTTCATTATGTTTGGCCCACGGCCAAATTGGATCTAAAGTCCGCCTAATTGAGCTCAACGGGCACGGTCTGTTCTGGCACCGCACGCCGTCGTCTGACAGCTGTTAAAACGCTGCTGTACAGGGCGGCAACTCCGCCGCTATGTCGGGCTAAACCAAGCCTGGCTTTTGAATCGCCTGGCTTGTCTCTGACGCGGATCCAGCCAGTACCAATGTCTCCCGTCCAAAAGCTTGGCCTGTGTCAAGCAGCAAGAAACAGCTAGCATTTGAGGGTGCTCCTAGGCCAGCCCAGGGGTGTGTCTTTCTCTAGGGGACCCCCCAAATTGTGGTTTTTGTTTTGGCACCCCGTGAAAACCACAAAACAAGAGGTCCCCCCAAAAAAGACCCAGATGCTATCAGCGCCGACTGGGCTGACGTTTCTATCGTCTGGCTGGGGCTGTGTCCTCTTGCCCCCAGAGCGCCACTTTGAAAGTGCTCAGAGCTCCACAGCATGGCCGCCTGAAACAAAAGCCAAGGCCGCCTGTCGATACCCCGAGAAGTCAAGTGTGTTCTGCCTACTCAAACAAAAACCGTTCAAGGAAGATGATCAAACATATGTTGCAGTAGTTGTCCCTTTCCGCCCACGGTCAATGCACGCTTACCCAAGAATTTGAGATTGTTGACCTTCCGTCTAAGTACTTCAATCAAAGCTTTTGTACTGAGAAAAACCGTCCAGTGCCAAGCCAGTATTAGAAGCATCAAAACGCAAGAACTTCCGTGCAACATGGAGCCACACGCTTCAAGCAAATCAAGTGGAATGGATAGCCTCCTGTGAGTAGCATGCCAAACACTCACGCAATTCTCGTGTGAAAGAAGTAAGTCTCCTCAATCGCTTTTGCCACAACTCGCAGTATGTACTAGCATCCTCCATGACAGCACGCAGAAACTCGCTTCCGAAAACTGTTTGCCACTTTGGATGGACAGAATCCTGCACCAGCTGCTAGGTGGTTTGTCCCAGTGTTTGATCCATCAGCTGGTGCAAAGTGGACTTTGTCCATCCGTCGTGCCCATCCCTCGAGTCTCTAAACTGAGCAAGCGTACCACCAGTGGTGGTGGGCGGCACAGCTTTGCCTGCCAAGGGTGAGAGGATGGGAGATGGGAGGGGTGCCAAGAAAATCAAGAAAAAACAAGATAAAGGTCCTTTGCTAGTTTGCTCTCCATGAGCTCATGAGTCACGGTTTTGCTTCGAAAAAGAAAAAATGAGATTGCACATCTGCATTGCTGACGCTCAAAGAGGCGCGTGCACATGCGATGGCAATCTGGGGCGTTTTTTTTTTGGTTGAAGTGAAGACACGGGATCACGTGGTTCGTCCAGCGCCAAGGCTCATACCCTCCAACTAACATGTAAGGGCAAAAAGGCCAACTCACCAAGAGGAAAGTCGTCTTTCTGTAGGGGTCTGGGGTCTGTGCGCCAAGCTCATGCCTGGGCTGCCCTCAAACCCCCCCTTAAAAAAAAAAAAAAACCTTTAGTGGGTTAAATGGAAACTGCCACTAAACACCAAAAGGCTAAAAGGCCTTTTGGAACCGGATGCCCGGCTTCGCCACCAATCGTTCGTCCTCCCTCCTAAGGACTCCGATCCAAACTCCTGTGAAGGTTTTCTTTTAGCGAGGTCTCAGAAGGGCCACGTTGCAATTGCAACAACGTGGCAATTGCAGAGGGTCCATTGAAGAGGTAATTACCCTCCCACAGGTGCCTTCTGTTAGAAGGGAATGATCCATGTACAAATCAGACCACAGGTGCCTTCTGCTAGAAGGGAATGATCCATGTACAAATCAGACCACAGGTGCCTTCTGCTAGAAGGGAATGATCCATGTACAAATCAGACCACAGGTGCCTTCTGCTAGAAGGGAATGATCCATGTACAAATCAGACCACAGGTGCCTTCTGCTAGAATGATCCATGTACAAATCAGACCACAGGTGCCTTCTGCTAGAAGGGAATGATCCATGTACAAATCAGACCACAGGTGCCTTCTGCTAGAAGGGAATGATCCATGTACAAATCAGACCACAGGTGCCTTCTGCTAGAAGGGAATGATCCATGTACAAATCAGACACAGGTGCCTTCTGCTAGAAGGGAATGATCCATGTACAAATCAGACCACAGGTGCCTTCTGCTAGAAGGGAATGATCCATGTACAAATCAGACCACAGGTGCCTTCTGCTAGAAGGGAATGATCCATGTACAAATCAGACACACAGGTGATCCATGTTCTGCCTTCTAGAAGGGAATGATCCATGTACAAATCAGACCACAGGTGCCTTCTGCTAGAAGGGAATGATCCATGTACAAATCAGACCACAGGTGCCTTCTGCTAGAAGGGAATGATCCATGTACAAATCAGACCACAGGTGCCTTCTTCTAGAAGGGAATGATCCATGTACAAATCAGGCCACAGGTGCCTTCTGTTAGAAGGGAATGATCCATGTACAAATCAGAGGGAGCCAGAGAAAAGGCCTCCAGGCTTCGAAGAACTTTCAACATGCCTGATTCAGGGAGCTCTCCGTCGACATGACATTTATTCAGTTCGTAGCCATAGCCGCGTTTATCGCCAGTGGCCAAAAGATACTCCCTATCTTTTATTCGAAAGAGGAACATGCGCATCCTCGTTGTTGCTTTCCAATGCGAACCTATGCCCATAGCCAAAGCAATGACTGGCCGATGCAATTCGCTAGCCCTGCATCAGTAGCAGCAAATACGCCGCACAGCTGCAAATGTGCAACCTTTGCAAGTGCAAATATATCGGCCGCGCCTTTCCGAGCATACTCCTCATAATTGCGGCTAACCTCAGTCTCTACGGTTTCGCACACCCTAAAGCAGTCAGAGCAAAGACCAGCCATTTCTTGAAGTACTGTGGATGAACAAAATCCGTTTCGCACCAGTTTGAAACCGTGGTTGAAACCATTGTTCGTTGGTATTTACAGGGGAATCGTCATTCCAGGGTTTCTTAGGTGGTGCAGGATTTCGTCCATCCACAGTATGTCTCATCGGTCCACAGTTTTCAACCCTCCTCCCTACAACCACCGTGGCGCAATTTAGCAGCACGCTGTAGCACCATCACACATAGTTCTTCTCAGAGCAGAGGCGGCTTTGGGTCTTATCCACTCAAGGCACCACGCAATGCGGCCCCCAATCCCAGCTCTTGCATGGCAAACCGCGAAACCGCGCCTTCTTCCAGTTCACCACGTTCCAGAAGGCAGCGACCTTGGAACCGGAACTGGTCTTGAGAGGTAGCCTTTCGGAAAAATAGATGGCCCGGGTAGATGGAACAAGATCCATCTAAACCGGTGCCATCTATTTTGGACCAAAGCAACCTAAAAAGGACACCTAGGGTCTTGAGTGGTTTTCTTCTCCTGAACAGCTCATCCCGTGGCTTTCTCAGCCAATCCCCCCTCACCAGGGCTGTGCAACCACGGCACATAGTCTGCGCGCCTGTTCTGGTACTTCAGATAGTACGCGTGCTCCCAAAGATCCAGACCTAAAATGGGAACCATCTTCTCGAACTTGTACTCCAAGCCTCAAGGTGATGATGGGCGGGTGGCGGTAACAACTAGCAACAACAGCCGCTTTGCAAATATGCTGCCGACGTGAGATATCTGGCATTTTCACCCGTGAAATCAGCCCCATCCGCTTTTATTTCATTCATGACTCCAATACATGCTTTGCCAAGCCTGGCGCCAACAGCAAACAAACTGCCATGCCCCCCCCCCATCTGCCACATGCTCCAGTGGAACTAACAGTATCTCTACGAACATCCCCTGCAAAAGGCAACATCGCAAAGATCCATCTAGCTGTTGCCATGCTGCCACATGGTGTGAGAGCACACCATTGCACTGGAGGCTAGTAACACCGGAAGAGCCTGACAATCCGCCGAAGGGTTCAGAATTCATGTCAACAACTGGAAGTGTGGGACTGGTCCAGGGATGCAACCGCTCCATGGTTTCAGCCTGTCGCCGCGTCGGCCCAGCCTTCCATCAAGGGGTTGTCCTTCGATGCAGGCAAAGGTACTTCAAGCTTTCAATGTTGCTGTCAAGTCTGTCCAGTTGTCAGATTTGATGGCGTGCATGTTCATCTGGCTGTGGGTCAAAACCAATGGTACCATTTTGGGGTAGGTGCACCACCCATTTTGGTCTAGTGGGGATTGGGATGTTCACTGGGGGTACGATTTGGATTTTGACCCATGGCCATCTTGGCAACAGCGACTTCTGAAGAAAGGAACTGCAGCTGCTCCGAAGGTCCCATTCAGAGCCCTACACAAGCGATTTGAGGCTTCTTGGCCTTCAGCGCGCCAAGGGCCACAAACCTTCTGAGGCCTCCCCCCCCCATATATGGCGAAACAAAGGTGGACAATATTACGTGGTGAAAAGTAAACCCTAGAAGCCCAATACGCCAAATGAAGGAGGTTGCAAAATTGGACTTTGAGTGTCCATCATCCCCCCCAACTCTCCCCCAACTCTCCCCCCACTCTCCCCCCACTCTCCCCCCGCTCCTGGTTCGCGGTGGAAGTCACCTGCAAGGAGCCTTGCGGGGTGACTCCCAGCCAGGCCCAGCCGCTGCCGAAGCGGCCCAGCGCCACCTTGCTGAAGGCCTGCCGAGCTCGGCCGTGGGCAAAAACTAGCGCAGCTCCGAGTGGCCGGGGTCCAAAAATCGGGCCACCCCAAAAAATGGCTCGAGCCCTGGGAAACGGAAAACATGGCTCCAACCCGCGGTCCATATCCTGGTGGTTTGATTTTGACCCACGCCCAAGTGATGTGGCATCGCAACTATGCTTCTTCGCCCAGTTTGGGTGGCAAATCACGTTTCGCGCTGTGGGCTGTGGGTCAAACATAGGGTAACCCCAAAATGGCTTGCCCTGGTAAATGGAAGGACTAAAACCTGCGTTCCAATTCCTGGTGGTTTCATTTTGACCCATACGGCCATGGGTCAAAAATGGGGTAACCGTCCCCAACATGGCTTGCCCTGGTAAATGGAACCAAAGACTAAAACCGCTTCTCCCCTGGCCCTCTAATATTTTGAGCCACACCCCACGAGTCGCCGGTGCCCCCAGCCTCCTTGAGGCCCTCCATGCTGCCGAACTTGTCCTCGATAGCCGCCGCCAGGTCCGCTGAGGGCTCTGAGGAGGTGCTGGCCGACTCCAGGTTCACCTCGCCCGCGTCGAGTGGTCCGCTTGGATGTGGGTCAAAAATAGGGTAACCCCGAAATGGCTTGCCCTGGTAAATGGAAGCAAAGACTAAAACCTGCGGTCAAACCGGGTGATGCAATTTTGACCCATGCCCACTTGAGTCACTTGCTCAAAACCCGGTAGTATAAATGGTCGTAATCCCAGAACCATGCTTCAAGAACTATGAAGGCGGATATCCCTTCCTAACCTTCACCTACCTGGGTTCACTTGAATGTCTTTGCGCCTCGAGCAACTCCAGGGGAAGCTTCCCCATTCTTTCCACACCCCAAATAACAGCACACTTTGCCAGCACCCACCTCAACATCAGAAATGGGAACCGCACCCTCAGCACCACCCTGAACGCACCCAAAAATCATCTACCAGCACCAGCAACACCACCTGCACAGGGACCTACAACAACTCCTGCAACAGCTGCACCCTTCGCCCTGACAGCAGCGCCTACGAACACTCCAGTCGCAACCGTGGGAATCATGGTTCTTCTACCAATCTTCAAGGCTAAGTCCCAGTTGAACACCCTACCAAGACCACCCAATCGATCGACTTCTAATTTGTCTGACTGAGCTGAACAAGATCGGCTTCAGCTGCTCTTAAATGTGAAACAGCTCTGCTCATTGTCTATGGAGCCCGATCAGCGCCGAGATTGCCTTTGCCGTGATCACAAAAGGAGTAATCATGGTGGGTGCTAGCAGTGTGCTTCCGAGGATTGTTCATTGTGCTTGGCCCGTGAAAGCCACGCCTTGCTCCAGCTCTGAAATCAATGCATCGAACAGAACTGCCTCGCTCGAGTTGGATCCTTCTTGGAAACCCTTTTGGTAGGTGTCCAGCGTCGACCTGCTGACCCCCCGCCCAACCGCGCCCAGAAGAGGGCGTGGTTGTAGTGGCCGCCCCCGTGGTTCCGCAGCGCCGCCGAGGCCGGGGCCTTCTGCTGCAGCGCCGCGAGGCTGGCAAAGTCCCCTGGGCGCCGGCTGGGGACTTCTTGGCGCCGGAGAAAACAAAAAAGCCGCGCCAGACGGCACTGGCCTGACTTCACGCGGAAATGGGTCTCTATGTTTTTTCTCTGTTTTTTTTAAAGGGGGACGGTGTCTCTATTTTTTTGGGGGGGGCCAAAATGGTGGCTATCGCTTTGGTGTCCCTTTAAAGCAACCCCCAAATTTGGGGTGCCCTCGCAGGTATTTGAAACATCTGGGTCACAATCAAAACCTGGTACAAAAATGGTGCACCCAGAACCATGCAAGCACTTGAAGACACGCCTGCAACTAATTCCGGCTGGGACTGCCTCTTACTAACCTTCATCTACCCGAGTTCTGATTGTGACTCATGTCTGCAAATGCTTGCCTGTAAGAAATATCCTGGATTGCTCCAAACAACCTGCACAAAGCCCTGACCACAAACAGAATCAATAATAGCAGGGCTATGGGAAATGACCACTTCTGTGATACAACAGAAAGGGCTTCCCAAAGACTAACCCCCCACATAAAGGGGGAGAAGTGGGGGACAAACCCCTTGATCCCAACCCTGAATACCAGTGACTGCCAGGGACGACTTGACGCTTAGCTGCCTTTCATTGAGCTGCCCGTTTTAGAGAGCTCGGCATTGAGTCCGGCCACGTAGGTTGCATGGTGCTTCCTCGGAGCAAAACTTTGAGACAGCACCGCATATCCGCGAATGCCGACGACGACGACAGTTCAGCTGAAAAAAGTATGCACTCGCAGTGCAAGGTGGGCAACGTGTCGTGTCATGATGCTTCGATGCCATGCTAATTATGCACTTCTGCAAACGAGACTACACACCTGCACACATTGAGAAGATCTGCAACTGGTTTACCTATCATGCACATGTGGAATCATCGAACTGGTTATGCATCGACGGTTGCGTTTTCGCAAACGTCCAAAGAGAATACACGTTCACACGATAAACAAGCATGCAATTCACACGCACTCCTTGGATCCACAGCTTGCTGGCTTCTGGTTGTAGAAAGCCTTCGGGGAACACCTCCCGCGAATTCAATCGCGGAGGTAGAGGTTCATGGCCGACTTCGCGGGAGCTGCGATCGAGCGTTTTCTGTAGTTGGCTGATTGGATGAAGAGCTTGACAAAGCGAAACTACACGCAAGAACCCTTTGGGCAGGCGGTTTTTGGAGGCTGTCTACGAAGACTACGGGAAGACTATGAGGCGCCGAAGGTGGGGTTGGGGTGATGCAAGGCCGTGAAGCGCCTGCCTCTTTTTGGAAGCAGTCCTACGGTTCGAAAGCAAGAACCACTTCCGCGGCTCCGGCTTGCAAGTCGCAACTTTTGGTGAAGATGACATTTTCGACTGCCTTCGCATGTGGCTTCGGGAACCGCCACGGATGAGGAAAAACCAAGGAAATGCTGTTGCGGCGAAAAGGTCATGCACAAAAACTGCACAGGATTTGTAATCACATCAGTGAAAGGCAGGCAAGATTAGAATATGCGTGCTAAGAAGAGTGAGATGAGTCGTCCATTCATAGCCCTGAAGATAGAACACTGAGCGAACCCCTTGGAGAGTTGTGCAAGGACGCATGCATTCCTGCCAGATGCTGTCAGATTGGATGATGTCTTCCTCATGCCTGGCATGTGTGTAATGGAACTTCACTTTTGCGTTCTATGGAGGTGGGAGAACCCAAGCAAGGCATCAACATGTGCTGGATTTAGAACGGAATGTGATGCTCGTGCAAACAGCTCCACGCGCAGCTTGTATCTGTTCCGCGATCGGTTTTCTTCAGAGGTATGATTGCTGAACGATGTTGCGTCACTTGGTCAAAACCGCAGATACGCTTTTTGGGGAACCCCTTTGTGTGGTCCATTGTAAAAGGCGATGTGGGGGGTAGGGAGTAACGGGGTTTTGACCCACAGCCACGTCTTAAACTGCTGGATCATCGTTCAAGCCAAGTCTCCCGTGGTGGATCTTCATGGTCTGGGCATCGATGTGAGGCTCCAAGGCATCATACCTCCGCTGCACGGCAAGGTTGAAGCAGGAGTTGGTGATCTGCAGCGTAGAGTCAAATTGCACATCTGCTTCAGTCTTGGCATCTGATGGTTCTTGGGGTATGTGTGTGTGTGCGCCTGATTTGCGCAGGGAATCCCTCGCATCCCTGTTAATTCATTGCGTTTCCAAAATAACCACAAGCGCATGATATTCGGCTGTGGGTCAAAACCAATGGTACCATTTTGGGGTAGGTGCATTTTAGGCTTTATTTTAGTGGGGATTGGGATGTTTGTTCACTGGGGATGGCCATTTGGCAAGTACCTTGTGCCTTCGGAAAGCCAGCTCGCAACAAGGACATCGATATGTTCCCGAGCGGCTCGTAGGGCAGTGCAGGCAGGGTGAAGATCTCACCCAGGGAGCCCCGCAGCAGCAGAACGAGCAGCAAGCGCGGCATGGCCAAAAGTGCCCGGCTCGAGCCAATGACTCAAGAGCAAGCGGCCCTTGCCAAGTGGCGCTTGCAAGAAGTCGACTAGGCAGCTTGGAACCTACAATCCACACTTTCACCGGTCATTTCCAGCTTCTTGCTCTGCAGCAAGAGAATTGCTCCAGTCGTTTCAAGTCAATGTAACATGCCTCCACGCCTCCTTCAACCAGATCGTCAGGTAGCTCCGTTCCAGGCTCAGCTGATTTGGGCAGCTCCGTGCACAAGCAGTCAGAACTCTCTGGAGAAGTGACACAGCTGATGCTGATGACTTCTCTGCTGTTCTGAAAGTCTGCTGGGCAGGTTGATTCCCAGGCGGTCCCATCAGCAGAGCATTGCGTAGTCACAAGGTTTCTGAAAAGTAGGGCCCTTGTTCATATCCACCGGCCCGGCCATAGTTTAGACAACCACCCACGTGTTATGGGAACATGGAGGGTTGTCAAACATGGGTACCCCTTTTGTGCCATGCTTGATGTGGAGCCCGCCTTTTAAAGAGCTCCAAAAAGGGACCATATTCTTGAAAAACACTCTATATCTAAAAAAAAAAAAAAACGCTCCGCGCCTCGGCGGCTCCCACCTGAGCTTTGTTCTGGAAGGTCTCCTCCCAGAAGGGGCTGTCCATCCTGCGGTCAAAGGGAGAACGCGGCGTGATACGCCGCCTCCTGAGGTTCAAGTCCGTGTCTAAACAAAATAAATGGGTATGGGTCAAAATGAAACCAGGGGACCGCAGATTTTTAGTCCATGTTTCCATTCACCAGGGTTCCATTTTGGGCACCTATTTCTGACCCACAGCCAAATGAGCATGCACTAGATGCCTCCCAACCTATGCTCCATACCCTGTCCTGAACTTGGTGTGCTCAGGCGCATCTTGGTACCTTAGCACCGCTTGAGGAGTGGAGGGCTCAACTCCAATCTGCCGAATCGCGCAAAAAATGTGGGTGACACGGGTTTGCTCAATCCTTGGGATAAGAGATGGATCGTGCACCGCTCGATTTGACTTGCGAATCATCCCTTCAGTTCCCTCCCTCCAATCACAGCCGACGATCCCAGGGCTTTGGGTGCGACGTTCCTTTCGGGAAGCCCCCCGTCCACTGCCACGAGAGGAGGGCGCTCGGCTTCCCCGCACGCCCTTCTCATGGGCATGTGCGGCTTCCATCAGCAGCTTCTCGCAGAAGGCCTCGTTGCCGTAGAAGGCCTCGGACGAGGCGATGCTGACACCAGCGATGTGCGCGCGTGTGCGCGCGGGTGTACAAAGTGAGTCATCCTGAATATTCTGACAAATGTGTATGTATACATATATATATATATATATATACACATAGATAGAGAGAGAGAGAGAGAGAGAAAGATATGAATATGCATCTGCTTTTATTATCTATATATGCATGAATGACTATATATATATATATCCCTGTGTAAACGGCCGAAATTGACAACTCACATCATGAACTCGCAAGAGCAAAGAGGTGTCCAGCCGTTGACGCATCAAGCAGATTGGCCCCAGGCAGTGCACAGCTCAGGCGACTTGGCAAAGGTCTGCAAAAGCACTCGCTCTGCCTGGCGTACCAAGGACCGTCTTTGGATGTTTGATTCAGCAACCGTCCGTGTATATATATATATATATAAACTTGGACCAAACTTTTTTGCCCGGTTGAACAACAGCAACTAGACTTTTCGGAATGTGAAACAGGCACCTGCCCGCATCCCGTGTTTTCTCCAAAAGCGTGCTGTGTGAAAGGAAACTTGCTGGTGCGATAAGTAGGGAATGAGGGAATGAACCCAGCATATCCCGAAAGGAAACCAAAAGGGATGGTTTATAAGGGGCCTTCCTCATTCCCTGCTGGAGCACCAGCAAAAAAGGTGTCGGGATGAAAGATTGGTCAGGGTTGGTCGTGCGGGCTGGGGAGGTTGCGGCAACTCGAAGCAATGTCTCAATCTGCCTGTCTGCCAGCCTGATCACCCACCCCACCCCACCCCGTTCCCATGGTATCTAGCCACTTCTACGCTCTTGAGCTGAGCGAAATGAAACTGAGGCTATGTTTCGCTTTCATCTTGGCACGCACCGGCCTCGTAGACGTTGTTTGGCCAAGATGCCTTGTTGCCTCGCATCGAAGGCATGATTGACTGCGCTAGGCAAATCAGAGGAGAGTCAGCTTCCAACTGTATGAGAGCAAGAAAGAGCCGCTGCTTGCTACTCTCTTGTCTCTAAGTCTCACCTGCCTTCCTGGCAAGCCTCTCCCAAATCAAAGTCCACCAGCAAAGCAAGCATCTGATGACTAAGCCCCCAAAAAGGCGGAAAACACCGCAAATACCAGTGAATCATCTTAAATGGTTTCTTTGTGTTTAAAAAAAAGGACAACACATCTAGGTTCTCATCGGGCTTCACTGGCCAGGTCAGTTTCGTGCTGAGCACAGCGCCGCGCATATGATGCTTTACTCTCACCCGGAGGATCCGCCGGTCCTCACGCTGTTGCGCGTCAAGCACGGCCAGACGAGCGAATTCACAAGCTACAGATGGGGCGTCTTTGTCATGGTCGGACCCATAAAATGAATTGAATTTTGGTGTTCCTTTTGGTTTCACTTTAAAACCAAAAAGACTGGGTCCCCTCAAAAAAGGAACCACACCCATGTTTGTCTTCTGGTGCCTTTTCCTCTCAACCGCAGAGACAAAGCCAGTGTTCCGCCAAGTGGGCTTCCCGCTGTGCCCGCCCGTGCCCGTCTGTGCCAAAAGAACTTGAAGACGGGAGGGTCCGACGCTTCCAGCAACTCTGGTTCAACTGATCATGACAATTGAAAACACATGCGCCGGTCGAGGCTCATGCAGGCGCATAGCCACAGCTGTGTCTGCATAGGACACACGACACTGCAGCCTGAACCAGACTGGCTAAGGAAGAACCCACAACCTTGCTCGACGCGAAAACCGCAAGGCGCATGAGGCCCAGCTCGCTACGCTCCTCTTACTTTGGGTCGGATGCGTTCACCGCCAGATGTCACCCACTTTGCGAGCCACCGGAAGCCAACTGGCGTCCCTTCAGCCCCTGCCTCAGCGCTGAGGTGTCGCTTGTAGTTGGAGCACATGTTGTCAGGATCCCGCGTGGAGACGGGGTACTGCACCTGCGCCAGGTAGATCCACACCGAGAAACGAGGGCCGAGACAAGCGGAGCCCAAAAACTTCGCACACAAGCTGCACCCAAATTCTTCCAATGGCTTACCCTCAAGAAGGAAAAAAATGGGCCCAAACAGATCTAAAAGTAAGCTTACCTCTCACAACCTGGTGCTCAGGGAGTGTGGCAAAAAAAGAACCCGGGGATTTTGTCTAAAGGAAACCAGAAGGCATGGTTTTTCCCGGGCTCATTCCAACTCAGAAGGTCCTTCCAACTCATTCCAACTGCCAAGCACCAGCCAGACAAAGCTGGCATCCGAATCCGCTCGCTCCAACTCCACAAACTCGACGCATCGCTTCGACGCATCGCTTCGAATCGAAGCGACGAAGCGACGAAGCGACGAAGCGACGAAGCGACGAAGCGACGAAGCGACGAAGCGACGAAGCGACGAAGCGACGAAGCGACGAAGCGACGAATGGCCCGGCCACGGAGGCGATCTTGTTGCCCGTGCCCAGCTGGCCCTGCAGCGTCGCCTCGACAAGCAAACAGGACTCAGGAGGCGTAACTGTTGGCCCCCCCGAAATAACATGAACCTCCTCCCCGCAAATACTAAAAACAGGAGGGAAACAGGGAACCCACAAAAAAACAGGAGTGAAACAGGGAACCCCCCTGATTAATAGCTGGGAGGGGGTTGTTGATCAGGGGTCAGCATTACTCTGGCTCGCTGGGCAAGTTGTCCCAACTTCACGACATGCAAGAGCTGACAAAGTCTTACGCGTTGCATTGTGAGTTGCAGGATAAATGGCACGCCTTGAAATGATGGATCAGCGGCAGAGTCAAAGAAATGCGCATGCGAAACCTTCCGGGACAGCTTTGAAGCACGACGCGCCAGAGACACTTGGCCATGGGTCAAAATCCCGTACCCCCAGTGAACATCCCAATCCAACCACTAAAATAGGTTCTAAAATGGATGGTGCACCCAATCCCCAAAATGGGCTCCCATTGGTTTTGACCATCACGGCCACTTGATTTTTTTCCCCCTTTGCGGCTCTGGGCGGCGCTGCCTTCTTGCTTGACGCTGGAAGGGGAGCAGGAATTTTCAGATTTTGGCAGTTCAGTGGTTGGATTCAACTAAGCCTCGATCCTTTGGCTCCCCGCTAGTCGAAATCCTGCTGGGAATGATGCAGCTCTTCCACTGCCGCGCCCGTCGCCAAAGACTCTGGTTCACATGGGTGCTTGATGTTCCTGCTCTGCATGCAAGAAAATGAGCGTGGTCGCGTTTGATCTCAAAGTGGCTGGCAGAATGAATAGCCTCCAATCTCTTCTTTCTTGCCTGGACAGCCATCCGACTTATCCATCTGCAAGAAACTGTCGAAGGGCAGTCACATACTTGTCACTGCTTGAAATATCGTTATGCCCCTTGCTGATGGTCACCAGTCTGCGCGTGGCAAACACTGCCGCGTCACAAAGTCGGGTGGCGTGGCTGACAGGAATGATGGTATCGATCTCGCCATGGAGAATTAACAGCTTGCCCGTAAATGCCCGTAGCTTGTCTTCATTGGCCAGCATGTGCACAAAGCTCAGGTCGACGTCATTCAACAGCTCCTGTCCAGCAGAGCTCTCAATTTGGCCGCTGGCGACCGACGCAGTGAACTCAGGGCGGCAAACATCCATCTGAACCATAACGGTCCTAAAAACAAGCATGTGGGCTTCCCCGAAATGTAGCAAATGGCCCATCCAAATCCATACTGGCGTGCAATGATACGATCACCCATGCTATAGTCAATTCGAAGCATCGCTGCATGAGGAGTGCAGCCCGTTCCAACTCAAGCCATCGGCTTGCATTCCGGCCAACATAAACGCATTCCTCCCCACCCACGCACCCACCCACCCACACCCACCCACCCACCCACACCCACCCGCCCACCCACCCACACCCACCCACCCACCCACCCACCCACACCCACCCACCTCCCCCTGAAATTATCTCTCGACCATCTCCTTCAGCTCTGCCCGCAGCAGTTTTCGGCAGAGCTCCGCCGTGGACCCGGCCAACGCCACCAGCTCTGGGGGCCAAAACCGCGCGGAGCCGCCCATGGCGGAGGCCTCCTAAAGCTGCGGAGGTCTTTGAGTGCCCATGGAACCCGAGCAAGGAAAGGGCCATGGGGAGGGGAAAGGGGGGGGAGGTATCCCGCATTCTATAATCCCTTAGTAAGGCCTTATTAGATTTTGGGTGGGTTATGGGGAGGGGGGGGGGGCAACTCCCTTATTGACCGTTTGAGACCTTATGGGCTTATGCTTGGCTTATCCAGGGATAGCACCCCCGCGAATGGCCCTCTCTAGGGGTTCATGAAATGCGACGAGAGGGAAGAGAATGCCACACGTCCAGAACCTCTCCAGAACAGTGACGGGCTTTGCATTACAAGGGGACACCTTGCCTTGCTCCGAGCCCTAGTGCCGGGCCATACAAGGGGGGAACCCCCCGCCAGCACCGGCTCCTGGGGTGGCTCCTCCGGGGCTGCAGCACCAGGCGCATGGCTGCCGCAGAAGGTGGACTCCAGGATCACGCCCTAAAAAGCGAGGCGAGTGGGGTGGGTGGAGAGGGGGGGGAGGGGTGGGGAGAGGGGGCGGGAGGGGTGGGTGGAGGGGGGGAGGGATTTGTGGGGAAGCAATCTCATTTACCTCCGCAACTGTCCTGTTGTGCTCCAATGACCAATGCGCCCTTGAGAATGTCCGACACTCCGCAAATTCGCTAGAAATGAAATGTCGATCCCCCTGCCCTCACTAGACAGTGTCGCCCCTGCGAGGGAAGTTACTTCCGCTGAAACCTAGCGCGTCCGTCAAGGAAGGCACGGGCATTGGCTCGATGGGTGATATGCACCTCACGCCGACCGGCACTTCTCTCTGCTCTCCTGTCCTTGTCAAAGAGCTCCCCTTTGAGCGCCGCTAAATGGCAGGCGACAATGCCGCCCATGGACCTCCGACTCGAAAATGCACGCAGGTCGGCAACTCGAGGTCACAGTGAGTCACTTTGGCAAGTCTCTCCTACAAGTGAACAGCTCCCAAAGAATAGACGTGAATGAAACTCACCCGCATCGCGTAGTTTTCGCGCTGCTATCTTCACAAACGTAGTGCGCGAAGTACAATTCCGCAGTCTCGCCTCGAGAGCCGCAACTTTACCGGCAGTGCGCGCAGAATGCAGACAGACTACAGTTGGTCGGAGGAAAGGACTGACGCAAAACAACTGTCAACTTCTTCCCAGCCGGATTGTCGCTTGTGTTTGGCGTAAGATCCGCAAAAGTTTCCGCGAAAGTCGATGAACCTCCCCGCCAGTTTCCGGACATGTGTGGCCAACGGTCCCCTCTCGTGCTTCGAGCTGGGGCTGTGGAAGCTTACTTTGTGTCTTTTAGCAAACCACCCTTATACAACACTCTCGCCAGAAAAACATCCACTTTCGTGACCTCCGTCGCGAAGCTTTCGCGGAGGGCAACACTAAGACAAAAAGGCCTTCCCCCTCATACCTGAACAAAGGGACCTTTCTGACAACTCCCATATTGCAGCTAGCAAGTTGGAATGTACACCAGGGCTGTGTTGCTGCCTTTTTTACAACCAAATGATGATGGTGAAAAAGTGCTGGCGTCAAAGGTAGAGTAGTCTGGCATTGCAGCCAAACAAGAAGCACAAACAGTAATGCCATGCGATGGCCGACAATAGATGTGCAGTTCATATGGATGCAAAAATGTGAACCAATCAACTTGCACCCTGTCAGCTCTTGCACTGCACTCTGCTTCGCCCTTTGTCTGCCCACGCCTACAAAACACACACAGAGATAAACAGGCATAGTGTAAACTTCCAAGCACGTAGGCACAACCACGCAAAGATAACACAAACACGCAGACACACAGGCACAAGGGCGTAAAATCGTAACAATGGATGCGAACACACAAACACAAAGACAAACACAGACCAACTACCCGGCGTGTCTATCATTGCTTCAATTCTTACACTTGCGCTTCTTCTAGCGGAACCTGGGCCTTGCGACTCGAATGTATCCTGTTCAATTCCATTTTGTCTTTTTTGTTTTTGGTCCTTTCAAAAGAAAACCAAAGGGAAGACCAAAACCAGCTTGGCCATTGTGTGTGTGTCTTTTTCATGACACCCCTCTTTGTTGTGCTGTCAAAAGGGCATGGGCTTTCAAAAACCAAAAAACACCATTATGTGTCTGTTTTGTTTCTTGTGTTGTCAAAAGAAAACCAAGAAGAAAGACCAAAGCCCTCCGAAAAAAGAAAAAATATAAATAAAAAAAAATGTGTGTGTCGGTCTCATGGCACCCCTTTTTTTGGTGCCGTCAAAAGGGCATGGTCCCCCAAAAACCCAAAACCGCCGGGCTGGGCGCGCCTGCCCAGCAGCGCCATCCGCCCTGGCCAGGGCCACGGCAGCTGCTTGGCCCTTAGGAAGCCCGGCAGCGCCGCCACCACGCGCTCCCCGTCGCTGCCCAAAGTCCCCAGGCTGGGGCTGCCCGTGGAGTACCCGTAGCCCCGGAAGTCCACGACCTGAGAAAGCGCAAAGACTGAGAATTCTATGGAGTAGCTGCCCCATTTCATGGAAAAACTGAAAAATCGATGGGTGGCCTCCATTTCATGGAAAGACTGAAAAAAATCGAGGGGTAGCTGCCCCACTTCCATTCTTTCCAGGGATCCTTCTTTCCAGAAAACCACCCAAAACCCTGGGTAAAAACAGCTGGCGATTGAAAATAATGATGGTTGAAAAGAATGGGGAATCAACCCCTAGAAAAAATGGGCAGTGTGTTTCCTTTGCGCCCTGAAAAATAAAACCATCCACAAAGGGGCCCTAGTGTTGGAGACGAGAAGGCCCATCAACGTGAGCAACAAGGGCATATTTACGCTGAAGGGTGGGGCCTGCAAGAACATCAAGTGAGGGACTAGAGCACAACAACGTGGACGTGAGAGTCACCACAATGACAGGGGATAACTCGCAACTCGACACATTGGCAGATGGGTTCCAACTCTGTGAACAGGAGCTCAGGTCAGACCCACGCTTTGTGCATCTTGCTCTCCCCCAGTTCTCGCGTTGACCCCCCAAAGGTCCGCAGAGGGTTTACCATTTGGCGCTTGCGAAACAGTGAGCGTGGCCGCGCCAATGGTCCCGTCTCCGCGACCGTTCCGGGACCGTTCCAAACCCGTTCCGAACCTGTCCCGAACCCAGCCTCCGTACAGGTGTCGCAACCGAGGTGGTTTGCGCACTGTCCGAGGAGCCGACTTCACGCACAGGGCCCAAGTTTTCTGCATCTTGCTATCCCCCATTTCTCGTGATGTCATTATTTGTCACGCTTTTACGCGCACATCCATGTACCTTAAAGCTATCTATCTGTCAAGGTAACTATAGGTCAAAGCTATCTATCTGTCACACCAGCCATATTGGAAAGCTATCTATGTGTCAAGCTATCTATCATGGCTATATGTCAAAGCAGCTAGCTCAAGTAGTTCCAGTATTACGGAGGTTTCTTGTTAAACCTGCAGAACTGGCGTCATGTCTTCAGTTCCCCCCCCCATCATTGCTCCATGTCTGCCATAGTATACACGCATTGATGTTTCTTCTTTCAGCACACCATTGCCGTGAAAGCGCGTGGCATCTTGCCACTCAACTGCATGAAGTCCTTGCATTTCGGCCCTGCCACCTGTACACGCTTGCAACGGGCTCACTATGCTCACTGTGAGTTGGTGAGTTTCAGGCGCTTTCGGGTGGGAGCCACCACATAGGAACCATCCAAGCCTCCACTCAAGCTTGCCAGGGAAACCTTTTCTTCCGGCCGCGAGGAAGCAGCAGTTGCAGCATGCGCAGGCTCAGGCGGAGCAGTTTGGGTGGGTCTGGATGCAGGTTCTTGTGGCACGCAGTCCTCATCTGCTTCTTCCGTTTCGCCCCTCCGAACACTCTCGAGCACCTGCTTGAGAAGCTGCAGTTGGGACTCTTTGCTAGAATAGCTCAAGCCCTGCTGGTCAATGCGCGCCACGCTCTGATCCCTCACAACCTGGTAGTTGTAGCCTTGCTCCACCAGAAACTGCTGCCGCCGGTTTGCATGGTACAACTCTTGTGTGTCGCGGGAAACCACCGAGTAAAAATAGGCATTGAAGCGGCCAGATACATTGGGCTTGGGCCGCAAGATCCGCCCCAAGCGCTGCGCTTCCTGACGCCGGGAACCGTAGTGCGAAGAGATCTGCACGATGACATTCGCCACGGGCAGGTCGATGGCATTGTCACCTACCTTGGAGAGGAAGACGGTGTTGCACGCGGAACTTTCCTGGAACTCACTGAGAATCTGCATACGCTCCCGCATGTCTACTGAGCCGCAGATGTAATATCTCCCCAGCTTCTTGGCAAACTCCTTCAGGATGAAAATGTTGTCGCTGAACACGATGATTTTGTCTCCGCGTTGCTCATGAAAGCGGATTAAATACTCGCAGGTGTTGAGCTTCTTTGGGTTGCAGGTCCAAAGCGCGCGCTGTATGATCGCCCGCATGGAACCCGGCACGTCCGCGCCGTCGCCCGCTTGTAAGTACTCCACGAAGAACTCTTCGGACATGTCGCACCACACTTCGATGCAGCGAACCCGGGCTAAGTAGCCATCATCCTGCAGCTGCTGCCAATTTGCTTCGTAGAGCTTGGGCCCAATGAGCCAGTGCAAGTCTTGAATCAGGTCGTCTTCTCGTACCAGAGTGGCTGTGAGGCCTAGGCAGCAGTGGGACTTGATGGTGGTGGCTACTGTTCGGAACGTCCGGGCTGGCATGACTTGAACCTCATCCACGACCAGCAACCCCCATTCAAGCTGCTGCAGCTGCTCCAGAATGAACGCAGTGTCACCACCCCTCCGCCCAGTAAAGCCAAGCATGCTGTAAGTAGAAACCACCACGCACGCACGCCTCTCTGCATCCTCAATGGGCCGCTTCTGATCCGCCGTGAACACGTACACATCTTCCGGCGGAAGCGTCGTGAAGAGCTGAAGTTGCCGGCGCCACTGGTCCACGGCCACCGCCGTGGTGGTCAGCACCAGCGCGCGCCGTCCCACGCGGCAGCAGGCCGCGATGCCCACGAGCGTCTTCCCAGCACCACAGGGCAGCACCACGATGCCCGACCGCGCGATGTCGTCCACCGAGAAGATCTTCGATAGCGCACGCTGCTGGTACGGTCGGAGGTTCACCGTGGGCCTTAAGACCGCCGGCAAGTGCGGGTTTGTATCTGCGCTATCTCGTCGAAACTCATACTCCTGGAGAAGCGGAAAGCCCAAGTTGTGGGCCGCCAACTTGAGCTTTTCAACGCAGGCGACCTGGCGGTCAAAAATGGGTACCCAAAATGGCTTGCCCTGGCAAATGGACCCATGACTAAACTCGGTTGCTTTCTGCTCCCCTGCCAAAAGTTTTAACTTTTGGTGGGTTTAATACGGAACACCTAGTTGGCAAAAAGTGGTCCAGTCCTAACATCCAAGAATGAACCCATGACCAAAAATTCGCAGTCCATATCCTGGCTTCCTCTTGACCCACACCCGCCTCAGTGGATGTGGAGTCCACCAGGCACTCAGCCACTGTAGCCTCGGAGCTGACGTCCCGAAGCAAGGCCTCGTCTTCCGACTCCAGAAAGTGGCGCCCGCCGCGGAGGACCAGTCGCAGCTTGCCGGTGGTCCGGCCTTTCTCTCTGATGAAGCTCAAGAAATCCTCATGAATGACATTTTTGGAGAGTTTCACCAGCAGCTGAATGATCTTTTCGACACTTATGCCATTTGCAATGGCAGCATTCAATGAAAGAGCCGTAATTTGATACTCATGTATGGTCTGCGGCCTGCTCACTGGCTCAGATACAGCAATCAGAAAATCTGCCACTTGAGCTCCTTGTGGATGGAATGTTTCGAAAATTATCCTCCCAGTGTCGCAAACCCAAATTGGGCGCTTCGCGTGGTCTGGCTGCATGCCTTTTGCGCCAAAGCGGAGCTACCTGCACTGCAAACTAGGCCTTGAGCCAGAGATGATACAGTGTACATGCATTGATGATCGAATCGGGATTGCCTTACGGGCATCCTCACTGTGTTGCTTAACTGGTACGATGACCATCCCCATTAACAACAGCAGGCCCTTTGGCCACGGCTAAGTTTTCGTGCGGGTGCTGCAGTATCCGTTCCTTTCTTTCTTTTTCGGCGGCTTCACTTTCAGCCGGGGCGCCAGCACGCTGACGTCTGCAGCCCGCAGGGGCCGGAAGATCTCCTGGTCCTTGTAGGTGTCCACGGTCTCCGCGTTGCCGTGGAAATAGATCAGCAGGGGGCGGTCACTTCGAGCTTCCTGGTTTCAGAGCTCGCGACGAGCGTCGCGAGCGTCGAACGGGGCTTGCCCAATGAAAAGGCATGCGACACCGTTGCACAGGTGACCAGCGTGGAATGTGCTGGAACCACCACCCCTCTTGCCAAAAAGAACATTCAACACGCAGCATTGGCAGCATTAAGCTTCCGCACTTGCCGAAAGCTCGTTGACCACATTGCTATCTCAGACCAAAAACATAAAGTGTCTGCTGCTCTTCACGCTGCACACCAGCCAAAAGTGCCAACTGGCAAGGACCGATGTCAACAAAGCGACCGCCAAAACACCAGGTCTGATGAACACGCATTGGTGGCTGGATGCAACAAACCCAAACTCCTCCGGATGATCCAACGCCGAGTCTCGCCGTTCTGCTCCAGCAGAAAAAGACGGACTCCCAGCTCCACGTCTGCCACTGGAATCCGGGCATCAATCTGTCGAATACCTGCATGGCCAGCTTTCCATGACAAGTACCTTGGCTCCTTAGGGTCACTTGGGGAGCTTCCACCTTTCGCTTCGCAGTCTTTAGCCAGGGGATTCGCAGCAACGAATCATGTCATACCGAATCGCCATACCACTCCGGCACTTTGGCAGATCATATTTGCGTCCAGCATATAAAAGAAACAACCAAATCTGGCAGTTTGGCAGCACACTTGACTTCGAAAAATCCTCTCGGCCAGTAGAGAGGTTAGAATACGGGTACCTGTAGTCTATTTTAGTAGGGTTGGACCCTAACCAAAAAAGAAACCATAAAAAAGGGCCCCTAGTCCTTGGGGGCCCTAGTCCTTGGGCGCCGTCTCTCCTTCAACTCCCCGGTCCTGGCATCACTTCCGGCGCGCTGCCGTCGAAGACTGCGGGCGCCGGCGCGAAGCGCCCGGCGCCGCCCTGCCACGCCTCCAGCGCCGTCTCGGTCTCGGACTCGAGGCCCAGGGTCAGGGCCAGCGCCTGCGCCTGCGAGAGCCGAGCGTCTCGCGACTGACCGGCCGTCCTCTTGGTTGTTGAACCTGCAAAAAGTTGGATGTCACTTTTTTGGGGGGGCTGGTGGAAAAAACCCCTTGATTCCCCAAGTTAGAGTCTAAAGGTCCAACCCAATAGCAGGTAAGTGTCGGCCGTTTTGATGCCTAGTGGAAGACATTTGGGTGCTTGGCCTGGCTAAGCCGCCAACAAAAAACCGCTTGAAGAGAAAGCAAGTCGTATAAGTCGTGTGCCCAGTGCGGAAACAGCGCTGGTTCCGTCTAAAAGACAGCGCCCCTCCTCTGGCCAGCGGCTCAGGCAGATCTGCAGCGCCAGCTGCGCGCTGCCGGAGCCCAGATCTTCCAGGGCGCGGCTGGGCCGGTGCCACCGCCACAGCACCAGCGCCCTGAGAGCTAGGCGAAGGGGCTGTCCTTTTCTGGAGTTTTGGTACCCCGTTGGCCCTTTGGCGGTTTTCAAGGGACCCAAACAGAAACCGAAGCCATTGAGGTCTAGCACGAGACACACCGTTGTCTCATGGTGACCAGATACCTGGTAGGTGTCAAATGGGCCGGCTTGGTTCACCTGAGGACTGCCAGTATCTCACTGCAACGCCAATGGACTCTTCAAACAACCAGCGGGCCTTGCGGCTTTCAGATCTGCATGCTGTCCCAATCCCTCGATAAGGCAGCTAGATCACGGCTCCATTTCAGAGATTTGTCTACAAGCGTGCGAATCTGAAATACACCAGTTTCGTGGTTGCACATCACCTCTTCACGATGGAAGAGGCCTCTTGCTGTTTCGAAAGGGCACGATCCCAAGACTTGCCCATTTGCAAGGCTAAGAAGACTCAAAGTTGGGCTATGTCGCCTATGGCCCCCCCTATGCCCCCCCCCCCCCGCCCCCCTTTAACACGAAAAGATAACTATTCAGACTACCAACCCCCCTCCCAACCCCCCAAATTTCCCCGCCCACCCCCCCCACCCTCCGGTTGGGCCTCTCCAAGCGCTTTGGCCCCTCGGCGCGCCGCAGCCCGGCCAGCGCCGCATTCGCCGCCGCCTCACCGCAGGCGGGGCTCAGCACCGCGGCCAGCGTGGGTTCCTCGCCCGCAGCCTGCAGCGCAAGGACTGCCATGAGTCGGCAGTCAACGTGTTGGAGCTATGTTTGTGTCTTTGCTGCTCTGTGTGTACCTACGGAAAATATCGGCTGGCGTTGAACCGTAAAGACTTTGTGACTGACAAGGTCGCATGAGCCACCGTTGAAATATGTTTCTAGCCTTATGGACATGCGGAAAACAAGGGTGTACTCTGCTTTTTGGTGTACCCCCCACACCTCCCAAATTGATTGCAGGCTACTGGACATCTTGACTTGACTTCATACGGCAACTGATACATCAGGAAGTGCACTGTATTTGTCAGGGCCTCCCACTCTCTCACACACACACACACACGGGTTTGTCTCAAACTCGGGCAACCCAAGATAGGTGGGTTGTCCTTTTGGTTTCCTTTTAAACCAACCTTCAAAACGGGGTACCCTCAAAAAAGAAAAGTACCCCCCACATCCCCCCCCACCTCCACCCCTCCAACCCCCCCCCGCCTTCAGCTCCACCGCCACCGCCAAGTCTCTGCCGCCCAACTGCAGCGTGAGCCACCCCTCCGCGGGTCCTGAGCCGCTCAGCAGCCGGAAGTGCAGACGCTGCCCCCGGCGCTCCTCGGACGAGCATCCGCTCCGCCGGAAACGCGTGCGGGCAAGGGGGGGGGAAGCCAGCGGGGAGGCTGTGTGTGTGTGTGTGCGTGTTTTGTTGGTGAGATCGGCACACGTGTTTTTTCCCTCATGGGATGGATGCACTTTTACTTGCACATGTACTCACTTCCCCTTCTGGAGACCGGGACATCGAACGGCAGGGAGCCGCGCGAGAAAGCAGTGCATGGGCCAAAAGGCGAGAAGACTGAAACCTGCAAGTGGCTTCATTGACACCCTGCCGGCAAAGCGGATCCCTAACGGATCTAACCGCCTTTGCTTCAGAGGTTCCAGCTCCGCCACCAAGGCTCCAGTCTCCACGCGGCCCAACTCAGGGGAGCTCAGCTCAGCGCCCGCCCGCACCACCAGGCCCTTGTCTTTGCCCCCCACGATCTCCCAGGCCATCGTGGTGGATTCACGTGACGTGCCGACCCCCGCGGGTTTTCATTACGAAAACTCATGAAGTTGACCAAGGCTTCAGAGTGGGCTTGAAGGCTCGAAGGCCTGCTGCGGCCAAAGCTGTCTCGTGTGCGTTGCAGGAACTTTCCGATGCCTTCCTTTCCAAGGTCAGTCACCAGCCTTTGGAGGCAGGTGGCCGAGCCGAAACGGCCACTTGACCCCCGCTTTTGGACGAAAAACAGTTGAAAAAACACGCTTAGTTGTTCGCGAGTAAGGGAAAACGACCCTAACCTCCCCTTTCAACAAATCCAGTGTTTGCAGTGCCTTGAAGCAAACCTCGGTTGCTTTCTGCTCCCCTGCACAAATGTTTAACTTCTAGTGGTTTAATGGAAAACCTATTACTTGGCAAAAAGTTAGAGTCCTAACATCCCTTGGCAAAATGCAAAGCAAAAGGTTTGTAGCTACTGTGGATGGACGAAATCCATGTTGCACCACCTAAGAAACTCTGGTTTCTGATGATTCCCTGGTAAATACCGACAAAGAACGGTTTCAACCATGGTTTCAAAGTGGTGTTCGAAATGGATTTCGCAACCATCCACAGCATGTTTCTGCCTTTGTTACGCTCTGTGCACCTAACGAAGATATGGGTGTTTTTCTTATAAAGGGAGCCCAAAGGGGAACCCATTTTGGGGTCTACAAAGGGCGCCACAGAAACAACGGCGCCACATCCAGAGGCTTCCCCCAGCCTTCCTCCGGGCCTTCCAGGCCACTGCCGCGGCCTCGTTCATGGGCGGCTGTGCCTCGGAACGATGAGCCGTGCTCGTCGCATATCTGAGGCTGGTTTTGGAAGCCGAAAGCAGCGATTTGTCGGACGAAATCGATTGCGACAAAAGCTCGATTCATAGAGCCCATGCCTGCTACCCGTCAATTTCTGCAAAACCGACACCCCGGTGATATTGTCCAGCGCATGATGTTGATGGCTCAAGCGGCCAAGGGGGCAACAAGGCGGCTATGAAAACTCGAGGCATTGTTGTCCGGCAGCGGAAGATTCCTGCTCCAGAGCCCGTTCTTTTGAAGCCTCAAGCCTCAAACTTAAAGCTCCGCTTGTATTAGAATGTGTTGGTAAGCCAAGCAAGCTTCTTCTCGAGCTGACTGCCCTGAAAAAAGGCAGTCATTTGCAACAAATGTGAATTCCGAGCTTCGATGCTGTGTACCATACATCAGGCTCAGGCAAAAAACCGTAACAAGTCCGGCAAAAACCGCAAAGGCCGCAATGGCGTCGCCCTGCCGCTTGGATTTTTTTTGGATAGGCCTCCCTGCCACCACGCGTCCAGCCGTGAGCAGCGGGTCTGTGCGGCGATTCACCCAGGGGCCACCCTCGGTGCTGCGGGGCAAGTTTTTGTCTCCCTCTCTATCCCTCTCTATCCCTCTCTATCCCTCTCTATCCCTCTCTCTCTCTCTCTCTCTCTCTTTCTCTCTTTCTTTCTCTCTTTCTCTCTCGCTGAATCGGGGATAGCACGTGTTAGTGGGTGCTGCAAGCGAAATCCGGCCCATACTGCACTGTTGATCGACGGTGTGGCTGGAGAAATCACTCCCACCAACCTGTCTGAATCCCACAACTAGAGCAAAGAGTTATCTGAGTGCTAAGTGCAACCCACAAAGTACTGAGAGCAACTTTCCGGGAAAAACCAAGGCGCGCCGCTTTGTGCCACGTTTTTGGGGTGGGGGTGAGGGTGGGGGGTCCAGAGGTTCCGCGCTACCCAAGACCCCCGGCCGGCTGCGCCGAGGCATGGAGCAGCGGCGCCGAGGCCGAGGGCGAGAGACCCTGCCATCGGTGCGAGAGATGCGATCGGGGCCCCTGAGACGTGGAGTCTGACCCCGATTTAAACCATCCAACTGGTGGTGTCCATTGTTTCGACCATCCAACTGGTGGTGTCCATTATTTGGACCATCCAACTGGTGGTGTCCATTGTTTCGACCATCCAACTGGTGGTGTCCATTATTTGGACCATCCAACTGGTGGTGTCCATTGTTTCGACCATCCAACTGGTGGTGTCCATTATTTAAACCATCCAACTGGTGGTGTCCATTGTTTCGACCATCCAACTGGTGGTGTCCATTATTTCGACCATCCAACTGGTGGTGTCCATTGTTTCGACCATCCAACTGGTGGTGTCCATTATTTGGACCATCCAACTGGTGGTGTCCATTGTTTCGACCATCCAACTGGTGGTGTCCATTATTTAAACCATCCAACTGGTGGTGTCCATTGTTTCGACCATCCAACTGGTGGTGTCCATTATTTGGACCATCCAACTGGTGGTGTCCATTGTTTCATCCAACGTGGTGTCCATTGTTTCGACCATCCAACTGGTGGTGTCCATTATCGACCATCCAACTGGTGGTGTCCATTGTTTCGACCATCCAACCTGGCTGGTGGTGTCCATTATTTGGACCATCCAACTGGTGGTGTCCATTGTTTCGACCATCCAACTGGTGGTGTCCATTATTTGGACCATCCAACTGGTGGTGTCCATTGTTTCGACCATCCAACTGGTGGTGTCCATTATTTGGACCATCCAACTGGTGGTGTCCATTATTTGGACCGTCCAACTGGCGGTCCATTATTTGGACCATCCAACTGGTGGTGTCCATTATTTGGACCATCCAACTGGTGGTTTCCATTGTTTCGACCATCCAACTGGTGGTGTCCATTATTTGGACCATCCAACTGGTGGTGTCCATTGTTTCGACCATCCAACTGGTGGTGTCCATTATTTGGACCATCCAGCTGGTGGTTTTATTTGGACCATCCAACTGGTGGTGTCCATTGTTTGGACCATCCAACTGGTGGTGTCCATTGTTCGACCATCCAACTGGTGGTGTCCATTATTTGGACCATTGGTGGACCATCCAACTGGTGGTGTCCATTGTTTCGACCATCCAACTGGTGGTGTCCATTATTTGGACCATCCAACTGGTGGTGTCCATTGTTTCGACCATCCAACTGGTGGTGTCCATTATTTGGACCATCCAACTGGTGGTGTGCATTGTTTGGACCATCCAACAGGCGGTTTGCATTATTTGGACCATCCAGCTGGTTGTGTCCACTATTTGGACCATCTCCAACTGGTGGTGTCCATTATTTGGACCATCCAACTGGTGGTGTCCATTATTTGGACCATCCAACTGGTGGTGTCCATTATTTGGACCATCCAACTGGTGGTGTCCATTATTTGGACCATCCAGCTGGTGGTTTCCATTTGGACCATCCAACTGGTGGTGTCCATTGTTTCGACCATCCAACTGGTGGTTTCCATTGTTTCGACCATCCAACTGGTGGTGTCCATTCTTTGGACCATCCAACTGGTGGTGTCCATTATTTGGACCATCCAACTGGTGGTGTCCATCGTTTGGACCATCCAACTGGTGGTGTCCATTGTTTCGACCATCCAACTGGTGGTGTCCATTGTTTCGACCATCCAACTGGTGGTGTCCATTATTTGGACCATCCAACTGGTGGTGTCCATTGTTTCGACCATCCAACTGGTGGTGTCCATTATTTGGACCATCCAACTGGTGGTTTCCATCGTTTGGACCATCCAACTGGTGGTGTCCATTGTTTGGACCATCCAACTGGTGGTGTCCATTATTTGGACCATCCAACTGGTGGTGTCCATTATTTGGACCATCCAACTGGTGGTGTTGTTTCGACCATCTTTCCAATATTTGGACCATCCAACTGGTGGTGTCCATTTGGACCATCCAACTGGTGGTTTCCATTGTTTCGACCATCCAACTGGTGGTGTCCATTATTTGGACCATCCAACTGGCGGTCCATTACGTGTCTATTATTTGGACCATCCTGGTGGTGTCCATTTGGACCATCCAACTGGTGGTTTCCATTGTTTGGACCATCCAACTGGTGGTGTCCATTGTTTCGACCATCCAACTGGTGGTGTCCATTATTTGGACCATCCAACTGGTGGTGTCCATTATTTGGACCGTCCAACTGCGGTCCATTATTTGGACCATCCAACTGGTGGTGTCCATTGTTTGGACCATCCAACAGGCGGTTTGCATTATTTGGACCATCCAGCTGGTTGTGTCCACTATTTGGACCATCTCCAACTGGTGGTGTCCATTATTTGGACCATCCAACTGGTGGTCTCCATTATTTGGACCACCCAACTGGGTCCATTATTTGGACCATCCAACTGGTGGTGTCCATTATTTGGACCATCCAACTGGTGGTTTCCATTTTTTGGACCATCCAACTGGTGGTGTCCATTGTTTGGACCATCCAACTGGTGGTGTCCATTATTTGGACCATCCAACTGGTGGTGTCCATTGTTTCGACCATCCAACTGGTGGTGTCCATGATTTGGACCATCCAACTGGTGGTTTCCGTTGCAGAACAAATTCCGGGTTGATTCCATTTCTCATTGCCTGCTGATCACCAGCAAGAATATGGAGGTTTCTGAAAATAAGGGCCCGTGCAAATGCACGATTTCCTTTCACCCGACTCTCATCCCGCCTTTGCCATGGCCAGGCGAAGCGGTGCCTACCTTGCGGCAAGGCGGTACCGGCTAAGCGCCTGGCCTCACTCCTTGAGCCAAGCTGCGATTCCAACGAAGAGGACCCAAAAAATATCGCCAGATCTTGTGGGAGGTCCAATCTTTCGTCCTTTGCAAGGCTCACAGACAAGTCAGTTTGTCTTAAGAAAGGCGGAGGGTCGCTTCTGCTCTACAAGCGGAATCGAAGTTGCAACCCAGCTCACAGGAGTTTAATTGGAAGCGCCCATGCCGCCCGTGGCACTGAAACACCTCACTTTTCCTCGTCACTCGGGTTTTCGCTTTCAAGGCTCTCGCTGGCTCCCGCTCGAACTTGTGCCACTTCCAAATCCCTCGTCTGAGGAATGTTCCACTGGCATTCTAATGAAAGGGATTCTTTCTTTCTTTTGCTAAAATGCCCAGTGGCCATGGGAAAAACAGGCATACTTTGTTGGCTGGTTGACTTTAAAGGGGAACCCTTCCCAAAAAAGGAAAAAGGGCACAAATGGGCAACTGGGTTTATGCTCCCAGCCCCAAACAGTCGAAATAGCAGTCAAGATCGATAGTGTTGGACAAGCGCCCTCGAAATGAAAGAATTCCTTCAAGCGCAGCAAGGGAAATGAAACATGACTCAAAGCCGCGACAAGTCGCTACAACGCTACCTGTCAAGCGGCTTCTTCGCGAGCCAGCTCAAGCCTTAAAAAGTTGGGGTCCGCCTACGAAACAGCCCCCGCGGCACAGTATCGCTTGCTCCCAAAGGGTTGGAGTCTCCATGGGATTCGATTTTTCGGCTGCATGCCTCTTGCCACATGCCTCCTGCAGGCGCAAACCGGAAAACTGGACTCGGAGGTCATCCAGCGCCCGTGGCTTAAATTGGCTCTCAGCGCACAGAAATCCCAGCCTGCATGAAACATCCCCGAGCCAGACCGCATGCAATAATAATAAGAAAAACAAGATGTGCTGTACAACGTTTGTACCCCAATAAGTACTATGTTCGGCTAATTGAACAGGTTTTGATAGATTCAGAGATTCACCCTTTCGAGTGGAAATGGAGCGCCCGAATTCGGGTCTCAGCGCCAAATACCGGTCCAGTTCCAGTCGCGGAAGATGTCGGCGCCCTCCTCCTTACGGCCAGCAGCTGTTCGGCGGTCAAGGTTTGGCGAGGTGTGTGCGGTTCACTTGCAGCAGAACCCCTGCAGAATGTTTGGCCCATGAGCATTTGGCCCACCACAAGTTCAATCTGCGAATGCCACCCAACCAACCCACCCACCCACCCACCCACCCACCCCAACCCCCCCCAACCCCCGCAGCCCACCCAACCAACCCACCCACGCTACTATTATCGCAACTACAATTTCAAAATCTGAACTGAGGGATTCCCAAGTAAAGGGCCTTGATCATCGTTATAGCCCCCAATCGGTGAGCTCGCTACAAAATAGGCAGAAAGTCATCCTTCAATTTCCGCCACAGCTGAGAGGCCGCAAACAAGGCGAGTCGCGCCGCAAACAAGGAGAGAGTGGGTTTGGACAAAGCGCGTGACTTGGGCGTTGGGCTGCCCAGCAACTGTGGTTTGCCTTATCCCTGAGTATCAGTGTTGGTTTTCCACAGCCCGTCGCAGGGATGTCCAAGTGTCGGTCTTGGCAAAATCTGACAAAGCAGTTGAGCTGTTGAAGCTACAGCTTCCAAGCTGGCGAGTTCCAGGCGATTCAATGAACGCCATCGAAATGACCCATTGCCCACGCTTGCCCCATGTTTGAATCCTTCGCAGTGCTCAACATGGCTATGAATTTTCATTGGGAACCACCCGAAGCTTGATGTCAAAGGGTCCCTGATTAAAATTCACACCCACATGGTTCAAAACCAATAACGGCACCATTTTGGGGCTTTCGGTGCACCACCCACTGTAGAACCTATTTGAGTGCTTGGATCGGGATGTTCACTGGGGGGTATCCGAAACCTTTTGACCCATGGCAGTCACAAGTCACCGCGCTGCGTTCCAAGTGGCGCCGGAGTAGTAGTAGGGCGCCGGCGACTTCTCGATCTCGTCCGCGAGGTCCACCAGCTCTCCCTCTCGGCCTTCGAACCTTGCGGAACACGGAGGTCTAGATTTATGCAAATATATATATATATATATACAGGTATACATCTATGTATATATATATATATATATATATGGCCATGGGTCAAAACCCAAATCGTACCCCCAGTGAACATCCCAATCCCCAATAAAATAGGATAAACAAATGAGTGGTGCACCGAAAACCCCGAAATGGGATCCCATTGGTTTTGACCCACAGCCATGTATATATATATATGGGCTATAAAGGGAGCCCAACAGGAGAACCACCCATTTTGGAGGTTCCCCCATTTTGAGACAACCCCCATCAAGAGCGTGGTCTCCGGTTCTGCACTCAGCGAAGCCAATCAACTCATCCTTGAACCGGTCTCGTGCTTGGACACTGTGTAAGTTGCTGCCAAGCCACAGATACTTCACCTGAGATGACAGACACACAGAAATATGAAATCTACTGAACAAACTATGTCAGGTGTCATCATCCCAAGCACCAACAGACAAAAATATGCTTGCCAAAATTTCCAGGGGCGATGCAGAAAGGCCCAGAACGCCCCCGCCTGAAGCAAGAACTGCATCCGCTTGGTGAGCTTGGGCTGGTTCGGGCCCTCTACAAATTCGTAGACGCTGGCCTACAGCTCCGGGCAAGGCAGGGGTCAGAAGCTGCGGCAACATGTCGGTAAAATCCAAGAGTCCAGACCATCAACAGTCACTCACCGGAGCCAGATTGAAGCGAACAAATTCGTGTCGTAGCGGGATGTTCCAACCCGAACAATCCCGGCATGCTGTCTCTGACAAGCTCCACCCGTCCTTCTGCCGGATCTCCTCGATAGTCATGCCTCGCCCCTTCAGCTCCTCACAGCACATGCGCCTGAACTTTGGAACAATCAAGCTTCTACAGTCAACAAGGATGTCCTGACATTCTTGACTTTGACATGTTGTGGTTTACCAAGGTGCATGGAGCATGTGCCTGATTCAAACAACACCTGTGACCAAGTGAGCATTAGATAGGGATCACAAATGCCCTCATTACACAGAGCTCCCTTTATCTCCCCTTAAAACATTACCCCCAATTAAGGGACACTCACCTTCCACGGGCCAAAGAGGTGTTGTTTCAAACCACCAAGAAGGGAAATACCTCGGGACCCCTGATACAATGACAGCGCGTGCTTTATCAGCTCCCGAGCTTCGGCATCTCAGTGAACAAAACGTGTTCAGGCCGCGTCAAAGCCTTGTTTAGACCAAGTGTCCCTAAAACCCTCTCTGCAGCTCTGTGAAATATCGACTGGAGTCCGTGGATTCAGCGGCCCACTGAGCATTCTGCTCTGTGCAATTTGTAAGCTCACTCTACAAAGCCAAGCTGAAAAGGCCCAAAATGTCGAATGTTTCCAATCTCTGACCTGTTCTGCGATTTCCAAGCTCACTCGCTGAGAACGCCCAGCTGAAAAAGTTGAAACAGTTGAATGATTAAAACAAGAAGGAAAAAAAGGAAGAAGAAAAAAAAAACGTTGACTGGGAAAGTCGGCTCAAACTCCCCCGTCATTGATGAGCTCTCGTTCCACTGCCGCCAGGCGCGCCTGGGCCAACCATCTTGCCGACCGTCTCAGAGCCCCGCGACGTCCGCACGACCCGATTCACCGGGTGCATGAGCCATGCGGTTTGTCCATTGCCTCACGCCTAAAGGACAACACTTGCTACCGCACTTGCACTAGCTTCTTCGTGCAAATCGAGACATGCTGAAGCAATGCGTTGTGAACAGGCCACTGCCGTCTGGCTGCGTGAACGTGACTGTCTGACAAATGGTACAAACAAATCGGACGCGGCGAACTTTCTCAGCCGCTGAACACCAGTCTCACTTGACAATGTTCTGCAAAACTGGACCAAGAAGAACAGCTGTCAAGCCCATCAGTTGCATTCGACAGCTGTAGCATGCATCACTAAATTTTCGCACAAGTGGATCTGAGAAGAAACAACAACGTGGCGATAAGAGAACGCCAATCCGGACTCGTGCCAATGCCTCATTGCAGGCTGTCCTGTAGTCCTTCATGTTCCTGGGCTGCAAGAAAGAGATCCCAAGCATCGGGACAGATGGCCTGATTTCAAAAGAGCATCGGCCAAAAGATGGCTTAACAGACACACCTGAACATTGCCTTGTACATGGTGGTGTCCCTTTATTTTGGTGGAATCAAGCCATGTTTCAAATGGGCAAAATATATCTTTTTAAGGAGCCCTGCTTAAAGAGGTTACGACAAGGTCAATTCCAAACCGCCACCAAGATCTCAAAACGCGGACAGCTCCGATCACTCCTGATGTGAACTGCTGGCGCTGGCTTCGGGGATCCAATTTGAGCAGCTCTGTTTTGGGGGAGCTACTCGTGTTGCCTAGAACTGATTGCAACGAGTCTTGGAAATAGAATGTGTTTTAAAAAAAAATGGCTCTGGAATCATCTCTTGGTCATGCCGGTGAGACGGCTAGAATGAGACTATGGGACACTATAGAGTAGAAATGATGGACATGTCTTGCACCTACAGCACAGAATGGTTTGGCGAAAGGGATGATGATCACTTGCTTTCTTCTTGCACCTGCCTTATTGCTACGCTGGATTACTCTCTTAAGCTCAGCCTCGCAATTGAGAATTGCTGGCGCAACATAACCTGTGGCCATGCTTGGCAGCGGTAGCAACGCGAAATCTTGCTGGCGGAAAAGTGAAAGCTGATACAGCACACCAAGGGCATGCCAAAAGCAGAGCGCATTGTCCGTGTGCCTGCCCCACAATTGAAATTAAACTGCTCGAAGGGAACGGCAAGGTCTGTTGCCAGCCACTCGATTCCCTGGGGGCCAGTTCGCTTTGATTCGCTCATGAAACGTGAACTGACAGGCTGACGCCATGAAAATCGTGCGGGCTGCTGGGGAATCTATAAGCCAACCTGAGCCGACGAGCCCCCATGCGCAAGTCTCGAGTTGGGGTTCATCTTGTAGCCTTTCTCCACAAAGAAGCTCTCCTTCTGCCACCACCACCTCAGATGGCTCAAACCTATTTGGCACGCATGCTGGCCTATGGGGTTTAAGCAGGCGAATGAGAATGACACACTGTGACGCCTCACAAGAATAAAGGGTGGCACTTGCTCCACTCCAATTCCCCACTGTACCCGCTGCCAAGCCGCTTGTTCATTGCTGAATCCTTCCATTCATCAGTGTCTCTAAGCACTTCCTTGCTCGCGCCGGTGACCGAGATTCGCCTGCAGGTGACTCCAGGATCAGTCCTACGAAACAGACTGAGGTGATGTAAACTGCGCTCATGCCTGTTGGGGCACACGGTAATTCCAAGCACCTAACTACTTCGCTGAATCCAAGATCGGCAAGCTAGCTACACTTGTCGGCACATGGCACAGCCTTAGTTGGGCGCTCAGACATTCCACTGCAAATGCCAGATGAAGATGCCAGAGCAGAAAGCGCTCTGGACAAAAACTCAAAGAGTGCTTGCAATGTTAAGCTTCATCCCAATAGTGGCACTGCAGGACCTGTGTTTTCCCTTCTCCGATGCCGAATTCTGGTTCTACTTGCTGGTGCATCCAACTGGTGGTGTCCTTTTTTTCGGGGACCAAAGCCTGGGTCCATTCCCTCATTCCGACGCCTATAAACCATCCCTTGTGGTTTCCTTCCGGCTCATTCCCAAACCCTGGGCCATTCCCTACCTGTCGCGCCAGCCGGATAAGTAGTTATTCCCCCGAGGTGTAACCTACAACGATGCCAACTTTACTTGGTGGACTTATGAAAATTCCTCAGCCTGGCAGACAGCAGCGGCTCGCGGCTGGCGCTCGGAAGTCCCGCAAAGGCCAGGCTTTTCAGCAGGCCTGGGCAACATTTGGGTGTCTCTTTTTTGGAGCTAGTACCCCGTTCTCCTGTGTTTTTTTAAAGGGAAACCGAAAGGAAAACCACCATTTTGGAGCCATTTTGGGGGGTCCCCCCCCCCCCCAAAAAGACACACCCAAGAAAGAGATGAGGGGCCTAACAGGCGCTCAATGACTTCGTCGAGTTGCACAAAACGCAGGCGGCTCCCGCCAGCAGCACAGGACCTCGGGAGCACAAAGATCAGATTGCATGCCCCACCAACTAACATGCATCCCAATCCCCACTAAAGTAGACTAAAATGGGTGGTGCACCCACCCGAAAATAGCACCATTGCTTTTGACCCACAGCCACATGCAAGTGCACCTCGTCTTTCTACAGTCTGTGCATGTCCATGTTAGTCGGAGGGTAGTCTTTCGTGGATCTAAACCATGCTCTCAGCCATCTGGACAAAACCGTGACAACTTCAAGTGCAACAAGTCAGCTTGTAACAGCGTTGACGGGTTTCTCAGCCACGCAAAACAATCAGCTCTTTTGTGGAGATCGCAGCGTGTGGATTCCAGAGGCAGACAGCATGCATGATTCCCAGTCGTAGCTAGTGGCAACAAAGACAAACTCTTCAAATGACAGGTGTGATCTCGTAAGTCCCTTCTGCTTCAGGAATGGCAAACAGCAAATTCCAGTTTGCGACGCAACACTCTGCCATGCTGCCAGGTTACGCGTTCCTCCTCGCGGCATGGCTGTGTCAAGGGTGCACTGCAAGCACCGTGCCGTCAGCTCGAGCCAGGTCCAACAACAGCACAAGCGGATTCGGTGTTTCACCGGTGTGGTGTCTGCAAAGCGCATTTGCTGGTTTACACTGTTTCAGGCCAACGCTGTTTCCCAACTTGATTGCCCACCAAGAAATGAATGAATCATGTTGTGGCAGTAAGGCCAAGCCCATTGGCAGACAGAAACACACACTTCTCATGAGTATGTGCAGTGCTGGCCTCATCACATCTGCTTAAAAAGGCGCAATTTGAGTGTGAGCATTCCAGAGGACAAAGGATGGCAATCCACGGATTTTGCAGCCATCTGAGGCAAAAGCAATCCCCAATGACCACTCTTTGGATGGTTTTGCTGCTCTTGCAATCCTCAATGACTAGAAAACAACCTAAGTCTGCTCATGGCGCAAAAGACGGCAACCGGGGATGTGCACCCTTTCATTTTTTGCATGAGGCCTTCCAGTGCACGATGTTGGCATGGGGCAACCCAGCAGGTTGACGTGGGTGTGTCTTTCTTGGGGGAGCCCCCAAAATCCGGACTTTCCCCTCTAAAAGCCCCACCAACTCCAAAAAGAAACGCGACATAGGGCAGCAATTGTTTTTGTTCCGCTGAGGGAAAAGGCACTTTGTCCTTGCTCCGCACAGGTGCGCCAAGCTTTGTACATCAAAGTGGTGCCGGAAACTCAAGGCCTGGGACGCGCAGCTGGAACCAGCGGTTGCGTTTTGCAAGCACCCTGCGCAACAGTATGTGGATCCATACACACATGGGTGTGGGTCAAAATCCCGTACCCCCAGCCAACATCCCAATCCCGACTAAAATAGACTAGAATGGGTGGTGCACCTATCCCACAATGGTACCTTTGGTTTTGAACCATGGCCACATCATTAAACCCCTAACAGGCAAAACACAGTTGTCCTTGGGAACGCAGCATTCAGATATCTCATGAGCTAGGAGACAAGATGGGCATTTTGTTGCACATGTGGCCTTCCATCGATGAGACCCAAGCGTTGCAATTTAGGGGACTCGAAATGGTCATGCGATGAGTCTGCTTGAAAAAAATCGCATTCGCTCGTCATGCAGATTCGATGTCAGCGTCACGGGTGCAGGTTCCACACAAAACGAAAGCCCAAAGCGCATCCCTTCGCAACGTTTAACGCCCAGTAACCCAGCTTCGAGCCCTCCTCACGCAGAGAGGCGACCTCAGCTTTTTACAAGCTCCGAGACAGGGGCGCACACGAGACAGCTGATCCCTCTGCTTCGAACAAGGCTTGATTCTAGACCACTATTGCTTCAACGTATGATTCATAGACTCCACCCCCATTCGGATTGGCCCCGAAGTTGCTATTCCACCCAGCTTGGGCTCTGTTTTGCGCATGCGCAGTGCGTTGCCTTTCCGCGCGCGTACCAAAACCTGGCCCGATCAGTGTGCTGCGGGCGCAGGTGGCAGGTGAGCTCGTGCGACATTTTTGGGATGTGCGGCGTGTTTTCCGTGCGTGGGTTGCATGCTTCTTGTGCCAGGCAAACTCACTTCTAAATCCGAGCCTCTGAATGACACCTCGACACTTTGCCCGTTGAGTGGGGAAAGTCATCCATCCATTTTGGTGGTTTTGGTCATCCCGTGGAAAGCACCTGTTGATCAACTATCACCTGGCGGCTGACTCCGGGAACTGGCTGCGTCATGGCCAAGGCGCCACATCCTCCTGAAGCGGCACGCCCTCCACGCGCAGCTGGCGCTCGGAGCGCGTCTCCGGCTCGCCAGGCAAAAGGACCTCCTCCACACCCTGAGCGGGGGAATCACCATGGTCTGAAGGTGGGTGTGTCTTTTGGCTGACTCAAAAAAGTGGTACCAAAATGGCAGCTTGGTGTATGGAACCAAAGACTAAAACATGCGTAGCCGTAGCTCTTTCAGTTTGAGCCACACCCATTTCCGTGGGGGACCCCCGGTTGGTGAGTTTCATCCAACCATCCACCCACAGCTCCCAATATCTACTGGGAGCGTCTGAAAAAGGAAGAAAAAAGAAGCGCAAGTGGAGATTGGCCCCAGGTCCAGTAGAGAGGTGGTTAGAATAAGGGTGCCAACTTTTTTCTGTAGTCTATTTTAGTAGGGGAACCCTCCGCCAAAAAAGAGTAAAAGGGCACTGGGGGACCCAGGGCCAAATGGTTCGGCTCACAAGAGCGGGCTGACCAACGGTCGATGTGAGCCATTTACATAGCCCCTTGACTCTCCTGTTTCCACCCTGCGCTGGTGAATTGGTCCCGGCAATCCTGGACATCTTGGCACAGTGTGCAGCTCTTGCAACCTGGCACGCCTTTACCGCAAATCATTGGCATACCCCAATGAATCAGAGGAACTCCTGACTAATTGACACCTTCCACGCCGCCCGCTTTAAAGAAACCGCAATGACCACGGTCGCTTCGTCAAACGCTCGCGCGCGCGCGCCGATGCGCCCTTCGCTCCGAAAGCGCCTCGGCGCAGGGTTGACTCTTCAGGATGGCCGCCATCTCATCCATGCGCTCCTGGTGTGAGCTTCTCTTCCTTCCACATGTGTGAGCTCGTTGAAATCTAGTGGTTCAACCTGAAAATATAGATGCGCCCCGTGAAAGGAACCTATATGAGGTCGACCCATTTTGGTGAGGTCACACTGTTGGAGGCCTGGCAAACAAGGGCCCGTTGGGCACTCAACTGCCATCCGTGCTCAACGCCAGCAGCGAAGGCAGCCAGTTCTCCAAGAGTGCTTCCCAACGCCAATAATATGCTTTTGTCAAAGCACAATTGCCTTGGGTGTCAAATGCAACCTATGCATCTGGAACCCTGGACTGCTGCAAAATGTTGGTTGTTACCCTTGAAATCAGCAGACTCGCGCGGATTGCTTGTTCCCCTTGAAATCAGCTTGTGCCTTTCGCTTTAAGCGCATGAAAGCGGCTGCAGCGGCTGTCCTTGAAGGCCTCTGTGGAGGGCAAGAACAGGTCTGGCCGCATGCAAAGGAGGAAATGCCCCACGTCCTCGTGCCGCTCTTGGCAGGAATGTGTGATCGGAGCAACTGCCGAAGCAATTCGTAGAAACCACCGGGAGACCATCAAAATTCCGAAAATGATCTGCAAGAGTTCGGAGCAGTCCAAGGAGGGGTGCCAAGACTTCCGTTTCCCCATTTGCTCCTGAGCTCCATCAGTGTCGTTGTAGAGAGACCGCACCCGGCCGCCAAAAGCCGCCTTGGTCAGAGCGGAGGTCGAAGCATGCGGCGGCTGTGAGGATAGTATTACCTTACTCTTGAAGTTGTGGATGGTTGCCGGGGCATCATGGCTCGCCAATCAATTGAGCTGGACCGGCTCCGGAAACATGTGGGGGCTACACCGGGGTACTCTTCCAGGTCTCGGATTGTCAACCTACTGTGGGTGGACGAAATCCTCCACCACCTAAGAACCCTGGAATGATTCCCTTGCATATACCAACAAATGTTCTGGTTTCAACCGTGGTTTCAAAGTGGTGCGACACGGATTTCGCAACCATCCACAGTATGCTGTTGCCCTTGAGGACACCCTTTGCCAACAAGCCGCGCCGGTGAAGAGGCCACTCAGCAGGTCCATCAGCAGCGAGATGGCGGCGCCCTTGGCGCCGCCAAAGGGCAGCGTGACGCCATGAAAGGCCTCACCGAGTTGACGCTGTGACTTGCTGGGGGCGGGTTGCGCTGGGTTTCGGGCGGTTACGC